ACCCTAAACCACAAACCCTGCTTTTCTAAGGTTGGGAGTCTCAGCCCCGAACATGGATGATAAGAATATCATAGACGCTTGCATTAGATACTGGGCAGATTTTGAGAAACTACCACAGCGGCTTTTAGCTTAAGGCGCAGTACCAGCGCTTGTACCCTAATTAACCCTATACCCTGAACCCTAAATCCCCAACCCTAAGCCCTAAACCTATACAACCACGAGGAGCTGGGGACTTGACCTCCTTGACTTCATCTCACCGAAGAAGCAGATCCTCGCAGAGTTTAAGGTGCAGGATGTAAGGTTTAGGCTTTAGGGTTTAGTTTCTACTGAGTTTCTATCCCAGCCCTTTTTGCTCGGAGAAAGAGGCATGGAGCAAGGGAGGGAGAGAGAGTGAGAGAGAGAGAGAGAGAGATAGTCATACCGCGCATCTATACATATGTACATATACATATACAGAGCAGTGTTCCCGGTTTAGGGTTCAAGGTTCAAGGTCCAGTTTCAGGTCCCAGGGTTCAGAGTTTAGATTTTAAGTGACTCGAATCGGCAATTGCCCAGAGTTAGTGCCACCTTCTATAGGCCACGAAATGATGCATTCTCAACCCTACCCATGCAGATTGTTCCAATCAATATCTTGCTGGTCTTGCCTACGACAGCAGGAGGGTTGTCACCCCCTCGCAATTTTTTCCACAAAACAGGCTGACACTATTATGCCATCTATTCAGGCACCCTAGCTCCCTTGAGTATGAATCTACATGTATGTCATCAGGTCAATACAGATTTACCCGACAGCGGATACACCAATGGTAGCCATTGAAATGTCATGCCTTTCGAGAATGGTCGTGACGTTTGAGGCTCTGGCCTGAGCCGGCCACCCAAACTCCTCACGTTGCTTGCAAACCATGCGAACCTTTGTGACAGGAATGTTAATGCTTGGGCATTCTGCAATTCTGGGTACCTGAGCAGTGAATCCAAGCTGAACACACCATCGTGTAACTCGAACTTCTCGCGCTCCATCAATGTCTGGAAGAAGAATCGTGCAATCCACTCTCGAGTGAGGGTAAGAAGCAAGACCCAAATCTCCCGGCTGCTGAATGATAAGCATCGCGGTAGCATTTGCTGTGAATCCAACTTGATGAATAACCGCTGGAATTTTGGCCTTTGGAACCAAAGTGACTCCACCTTTGGAGGAAAGGTGAGGATAGGACATTGTGGCAACATTGCACTCCGACCGAAAGAGAATGGGTGGGCATGCTACGAATGTGAGCCTCCAACCCTAAGGGTCCAAATAACAGGGTTTCAGGGTCCAAATACTATCATGTGAATGGTATTTGGGCCCTAAAAACCTGTTCTTTCGGTCCTTGGACCCTTAGAGCAATGGCATGGCCGCACGGATGGCGGGGACTAAAGCGGCCTTCACTTTTGAAGGGGGCCATGGTCTCGACAATCTCTGCTTGGAGGATAATGGGACTTAGTAACTACCCAGAACACGCCTTATAACCACATCCGCCGTGATGGGACTTGTTTAGGTCATCCCAAATATAAGTATATAGTAACACCAGTTGAAAATGCTTTTTGCTAAGTCCCATGGACCTTCAAGTACTTCTTGCATCTGCCTGAGCCCAGCCTAGCCGCCAGGCTCCGTCTCAAGCTCACGTCCCGGGGACATCAGCAAATCTGAAACCTATTTATATGAGTAGCGTTTTTTGATGGTTGAACCTGGTAAGAGAATATTCCTTATATAAAATACTATACCCCAAAATGAGGATAGAATCTTACTCTATATTGGGTACCATAGTATCCCCAAATAAAATACTACTCATATGAGCTACAGTCTAAGCTCCTCGTAGCCCCCTTAGTAAGCCCTATAGTAGTCCGCTATATGATCCCCTGTATAACCCCCATCCAGGAGTTTAGACTATAGTGCATATATGAAGGGGGACCAGGAAGCAGTTCAACCCAAGCGTTCACATGTTCTATAACCAAGAGTTCAGACTGTTCTGACAGTAAGGGAAGTATAAACCGTAAACGCCCAAAACCTACCTAACAGTTCGTATCGCTTGATAATTAGTTACGACTGGGTTAAAACCATACTCCTATTTGGGACACCCTACGTAACGCGCCAAAGCCGGAATCCCTCGCACCCTCGGAAGATGATGTGCAGTGACATGGATTTTCTCACGCTATACCCAAAACCCTAAACGAATCTCATGCAAAATCTTTGAGGACCCTCAGACCTTCAAAACCGCTACATCTCCATAAGCCACACATCCTAAACCTTAAATAACCCTTGCTACATCCCTAGGGCCAAGCTTGCTGAGAAGCCTTTCACCCTATACCCCTAAACGCAAAAACCCTTAGCCCAAAAATCCTAAGCCCTGAACCCTAGATCCTGTGCTCTGGATTAGTTATAACACTTCCACATCCTGAAAAAACATCCTGTTGTGAAGTATTAGGATTTTGGGCTTAGAGTTTAGGGGTGTTGGGCTTAGGGTTGAAGGATTTGAGGGTTTAGGGTTTATGTATTCTATACAAGCTACCATTCAAGATAAGGTACGGCGAGGTCGTTACTTTGGTGCGATAGCCCCAAAGCCTAGACTCTTTTCACTGTCTTCCCCTTAAACTTATTAAACACGACATTTGATGGTTGATAAGGGCTATGTGTTGCTCAAAAAAAGGGGCTACACATATTCTATATCATCAATAAAAATGGAAAACGATTCCTAAGAAAATCGGGGCTTCAGGTAAGGGGATAACAGTTGAAATCCTCCAGGACGGAGCCGGAGGATGGCACATGAATCCCCAAACCCAACCATTGCCCGAAAAATGGGCCTAGGTTCAGTACTGCCCCCCCCCCAGTAACAGTTGGATAATAATCATAATATGGTTATATCTACCCCTTAGCAGGACCCCTAATATAGACTGTTACTGAGTGGGGGCAGTACCCAAGGCCTAGGGTTGAGGATCTAGGAGTTAGGATGAAGGACTCAGGTTCTGAGGCGTGCCTAGGGTTTAATTCAAGGTTAAACCCTAAACCCTCCACCCCAACTTCTAAATCCTAAGCCAAAGTCGCCTAAGCCCTAAACCCTCAACCCCAAAACCCTAAACCCTAATCCCTAAACCCTAATCCCTAAACCCTAAAACTGCTAGCGCCCCTGCCCTGCTTATGCCCTCTACGAAATCCCTACAAAACACCCTATAGCGAACCTACCATAGCCCACGCCTACCTATCCCCTACAACACCCTTCATCACCACGCCTACCCTGCTGCCGCTGCGCGGGCTGACGACAAACTTACACGACCCCTGGGGTTGTAATTCATGTGGACTTCTACTAGACAAACCCCTGCTTTGACACTGGCGCCTGGTGCCATGCCTACAGGTGCTGTGTATAACGTCTTTAAGGGTTTAGGCTGGCAGCTGCTACACTTCCAAACCGTCTCTACCTAAAACCTCTATGCACCTCTACTCAAAACCTTGCTACTCGGACATGTTTCGTGGCAGGAACCCACACCTGAAAACCCCGACTGTCTTCCTGCAGCCAGGCCTCCGCTGCAGCAGTCAGGCGACCAGTGACGCTGCCTTGGCGTGAGTCAGTTTGTACATTCTTTTGAGACCCTGCTTACTCGAGGCCTACTTCCTCACATCTGCTTGCTGAGGAACGTGTTATCCTGCTTGCTACGGGTTCTGAGCAAGCTACTTCCGCTGTTCGCACTCTGAAACCACACTCTTCTTAGCTCCAACCTGCACATCTTGCTTCTTATTAAGATCCACATAGAACTTCTCGCAGCAGCTTCAGCTTGCCGGCTGGAGGGGAGCACCGGGCACCGTGCTCCTTAGCAGTACTGCTCATCGGCGTCCCTGCAGGTTGCACTCTGCGGCCTACCAACGGTGCTGCTGCCGCTCGAGCGCGACCTCGCACACTGCTTTCTCCCTGTGCTCCCTCAGTCGGCTGCGTGAGGCCAGGCCAGGAACTTTGAGAAAGGGACCTCTCGCGTTGCTTCTCTAAGCTTTCTCTCGACCCATTCAGCTCGTACAACTGTGCGCAGCAGCATGCATTTTTACTCTTGGCACATCATTCTCCAGGTGCTGTTGCCAGCTGCTTCAAGCGTGCCAGTTTCCATAGCGACCATACCGGCGGCCTCACTGCCTGGCTTCGCACACGCCCTAGCGCAAGTGCCACCTACAGCGCTGAGGCCCAGCAAATTGGCCGGCGAAATTGTTGCTGCCTCGAGAGCCTGACCTGGCGCGCTGCCGGTGCCTCTCTGCCTTTTCTCTCTTCCTGCTGCGGCCCCGGCTCTGGGTCCCAGCCAGGGTTCTCGCGCGACGCGCGCCGGGCTGCGGCCAGCAGTGCGCTGCTCTGCTCCTACACTCAGGTCACGCACCTCCTCATCCGTGTCTGCGAGCAGGTCCGAGAGCACCTGCCAGCGGGTCGAGCTCTGGCTACGTCTACTCCTGTCCAAGCCACCTCTTCAGGCGCGGCATCACAGCTCAGGCTGTCCTCCTGAGTGGCCCAAGGATGGCACCTGCACTTTTCAAGGTCATGCTTGCTCAGCCCGGCACGCCTTCTTGGGATTTCTTTTCCTCCTGACACAATCGTGCTTTTCAGTGGCCTTAAAGCTGTATGCCTTGCCTCAAGTTTCAGCCGATGCTCGTAGGCCCGCTCCAACTCCTGGCCGCAAAAACACATGCACACACACACACACACACACATACACACAGGTCGCATGTGCGTTCCACAGGGCTGACCAGGAGGCTAGACTCGCGCCCAAGAATGGCGCGCAGCTCCTTCTGGACGACGCTGCGGACCTGCATGTCACAGCACAGCTGTCTTCCTGCGCAGCCGGTCCTTGCCCCCGCGCCTCCTGCCGGCGGGCAGTTTCTTCGGCTCGGGCCTTGGCTTTTTTTCGCTGCGTGGCCTTCTGACCCGCAAGGCCTGCAGCTTTTTTCAGCCTCAGCTAGCCAGAACAGCTCTTTACGCCTCCGCACGTGCCCCTCAGCGCGCCTCGGCGTCGCCCTCGCTCTGGGCGTCTTTCAAGCTCTTGCGCTTGTTGGTGCGGCGATCCCGCTCACTTTTGCGCTTCTTGCGCCGAGCCTCTGCTCACAGGCTCTCAGTCACTGACACGGACTTCTGACACTTCTCCCCTTGCCTCCAGCGCGGCCGCTGCTTTCCGCTCCTCCTCGGCTTTTTTGGCCGCCGCTGCTTTCGCCGCGGCTTTGTCTGCCGCTTTGGCAGCGCGGGCTTTCGCCCGTTTTACTGGGGCCTTCTCCTCCTCCGCTGCCTCTTTCTCTGCCGCCTTACGCGCGGCCGTCGCAGCCTGCGACAAGAGAGATTTGCTTACCCCTAGTGTCTGCTACGCGGGGGGCGGCCTTCTCCGCTTGCAGGGTCACCCAGGCCTCGATCTGCCTCGCGTACCTGTCAACGTCGGCTTGCGAGAAGCCGGCGTTGACCTGCCAGGGCTGCCAGTAAGCCTTGCGCCTGCACATCCGCTACTTGAGGCCGCGGCCAGGTACTCTTTGAAATGGCCCGCCCTCTTGTCCAGCTGCTCTTGTGGGTCAAGAGCAAAGAAGAAAAGCTTCCAGTGGCCTCAGAACACTATCATGCTGCCTCTTGCTGCACTGCTTGCGTTCTGAGGCACGCGCGGCGGAGGGCACGCAGGAGCGTCTCCCAGGAGGCAGCTACTGGCGTGGGTACAGCCGCTGGCAGCTTGGGCTTCCGGCCTGCCGAAGTTCCCTGCTTCATGGCTCTTGAGTTTTTGTTGCGGGCCTGGCTTCTTGCGGCCGTCGCCACCAGGCGGGTGGCCACTACCGAAGAGCTCCTTTGAGAGCTTTCGGAGCCTGTCAGGCTCATTACTCTGCAGATTTATGCTTTGCGCACGTGCCGAGAGCACTTCAGGTCGGCACCTGCGTGCGCTGGAGGCCCTGCCTGCCGTGTTTGCATTTCACGTCTTACCCAGCAGATGGCTGGCTGTGGTTGCCATGTGTTGCAGACCTCTTGGCCTCCGCCGCTGCTCCCCGCACTCTCCTGCAGTAGGCGCACCATGCTTCGCGTCTCAGGCGATTGTCAAGCTCGCGCCGAACTCAGGCTCCAGCATTCGTGCTCGAAATTGGTGCGGCTGCGCTGCCTACCTGACTTGCGGCCTTACTCCTTGCACACCTGACTTACGCTGGAGGCACAGGCCGCCATCATGCCAGGGAGGACGATGCCAGGGGAGGCCTGTGCGCAGACTACAGGCACTGTGGCCGGCTCTCTGAGTCCTTCCTCAGCAGACTGCCGGCGGTGAGTTGCCGGGGACCTTCTTTACATCTGACAGACGCTGAGCCTCACACTCAGGTTCTGGCGGCCACTGTGCTCGCCTCAGCTGTTCACTCAACTACGTTGAGCCGTACTGCTTGGGCACTCCGTCAGCATTTGCACGCCCCAGCCTGGCTCTTCGCACAGAGCGTTCTCCTGCACAGCTGCAGTTTTCAGACACTGCAGCCTGCCTTGGCGACCAGCCTGTGGCGGGTCCGCGGCAGGTCCACCTCTCGTGCTGTGTCAGGCGCCCAAATTTACACGCCTCTATTTCCCAACAAGCCTGCTGCCATCGCTGTGGTCGCAGCCACCAACAGCATGAGCCCCAGACCTCGGTCGCTGCACTTGTTCTGCAGGTTCAATCAGGTTCTCTCGGGCTGCCAAGGCACGCAGCGTACCGCAGGGCATTGCTTTCAGAGGGGGCTTTTCGGCGGTCTTTGAGTTTTTCACAGCTTCATGTACACACAGGCAAGAGGTCTTTGCAAGAGCCATGCAAAGCTTTCACCATCTTGATGTTGAATGGCATGGCCCCATCCACACCGTAGAGGTGCTTACGGTCAACTGCACGGTGACAAAGCGCTGTCTAGTCGGTAATTAACATGACCATGACTTTGTACGCCTTGTCTCACCCCTTGCACATCACCTGTTCTGTACCCTAGGTTACCAGCCGATTCGGTATCGCCTGCTGCAAGGATTTCCCTTGGCGCCTCGACTTCCTCGCCCGGCTCGCAGCTGCCTGCAGTGACTGTGGGCAGGCTCGCGCGGCCGCATTTCATACACCCCTATCTAAGACTTGCAGCTGATGGCAACGCCTCTGTCCCTTTGTCGCCGCAGCTCCCGCCTTCTTTTCTTCTTGCAGCGCTTTCGGTTCTGGCCCTTCGCGCCTGCAAGCGTTGCAAGCTCGCTCTCTCTCTGCGCTGTCACTCTCTAGCCCGCTTGATTTACCGCGCTCCGCGTGTCACTACCTCGTCGCCTTCGCCTCTGGTTGCCATGGGTTCCCGCGCTTTGCGATTGCAACTTTTCGCTTGACCGCTTGCGCGCGCCGTGCGCCCCTGCGGCCCCTGCGTGCTATCTTTGACGCTGCTCGCGTTCGCGCTCTGGGCTCCGTCAGCAGCGCATGTGGCGCCCATTTTTGACACTGTTTGCCGCGAAGCCTAGGACAAAAACCCTTGGACGCTTGCGACTGGGTGGTCTTGGGGTGGGATTTCGC